ACAGCCAACGTTGCTGCTGCTGCTGCTGCTGCTGCTGCTGTAGCTGCTGCTGCTGTAGCTGCTGCTGCTGCTATTGCTGCAGGTGCACGCAGAACCAAAGAGCACCTCTTGGGGGTGTACGTACACCTCAGGAGATACAACCTGCTGCTGCTGCTGCTGCTGCTGCTCGGGGTCAATGCCATCGCTGCAGCAGCAGCAGACAGCAGCAAGAGGAAACAGAGGAGAAGGGTCTCCTAACAACGCGGAGCAGCAGCACTGCAGCCACAGCGGCAGAGCCCCCTGTAAACCCAAACCCATCTCCCCCGCTGCTGAGCACCAGGGGGCCCCTGAGGGGCCCCCAGGGGGCCCCCCAAGGGGGCCCCCCAGGGGCCCACAGGGGGGGCCCCCGTACCCTGGCTGGGGCCAACGCACGTGGAGGAGAGGCTGCGGGGGGTGGCGGCCCTCAGCAGCAGGTGGTGCTGCTGTCGTTTGCTGCTGCTGTCTGTCTCCTTGCAGCAGCAGGAAGCGAGCTGTCTCTAACCTGTACACAGCACACAACGGGAAAGGAGAACTGCTGCTGCTGCTGCTGCTGCAGCTGCTGCTGCTGGTACTGCTGCTGTCGCTGCGGTTCCTGCTACTGCTGCTGTTGCTGCTGCTGTCGCTGCTGCTGCTACTGCTGCTCCTCCTCCTGCTACTCACCTCTGAGTCAGACTCACAAGGGTACCCCCCAATGCTGCTGCTGCTAGGCTTTCTGCTGCTGCTGCTGTTGCTGCTGCTGCTGCTGCAGGCAGCCGCAGCGCCAGGGCCCCCTCCGCTGAGCGGTAGGGGCGAGTAGCAGACAGCCAAACGGCTGCAGGCAACGACTCAGGGGCCCCCCCAGCTCCACGGGGGCCCCCTGCACCAGGGGGCCCCCCGTCTGCTGAGGGGGCCCCCTGAAGGCGCAGCAGATCCTCCTCAGGTATGGAGAGGAGGCCCTTAGAGGCACAGAGGGGGCCCCTTGGGGGGCCCCCCTTTGCTAGGGCGTAAGGTGTCAGAGTCTGCTGCAGTTGCTGCTGCTGTTGCTGCTGCTGTTGCTGCTGCTGTTGCTGCTGCTGCAGCGCCATACTGGGGGGCCCCACAGACACCCCACGTTCCTTCTCCCCTCTAAGACACAAGGCGGTGAAGCGACGCAGCAGCTGCTGCTCGCCAGCAGCAGGAGCAGCAGCAGCAGCAGCTGCTGCTGCTCCTGCGGCACCCCATGGGGGGGCCCCCGCAGCGGGGAGGGCCAAGGGCCCCCTCAGGGCCGCCTCAAAGGGGGGGTCCCCAGAAGCTTCTTGCGATCTACTGGAGTTCTCTCGCTCCTCTGCAGCAGCAGCAGCAGCAGCAGCAACAGTTGCTGTTGCTGCTGCTGCTGCTGCCTCCTTGTTGCAGAGAAACGCGCGGAAGGAGTCAGTGATAGAGGATTGAGGGGGGGCCCCCCAGGGGCCCCCAGGGGCCCCCAAGAAACCTCTTGAGGAGGCACCAAAGGGGCCCCCCTCCTCTCTGTCCCCTGGCAGGCCAGTGCGCATGCCCCCAAGCACCCAGCTGCTGCTGCTGCTGCTGTTGCTGCTGCTGCTGCTGCTGTTGTTGTTGCTGCTGCTGCTGCTGGAGGCAGGATATGTGTCCTGAGCCTCATCTGCTGCTGCTGCTGCTTCTGCTTCAGAGCGACTTGATTCAGGGGGGTGCCCCCAGGGCAGCAAGCAGGTAAGGGAAGGGGCCCCCCACTGGGGGCCCCCAAAGGGAGGGGGCCCCTCAGGTAGGGTACAGTACCCTTCATTAGACAGCAACTCCTGCAGGTAGGCCCCCCTCGTAGAGTCTCTGGCAGGGGGCCCCACATCAAAGGGGCCCCCTTGGGGGCCCCCAAAGGGGCCCCCCAAGGGGCCCCCAAGGGGGCCCCCAGTGGGTACTTTGTGCCGGGTACCTTGCCGCAGAGTCAGCCGCACTTCT